GGGTTAGGTTTTAGGGGTTAGGGTTAAGGTAAGGGTTTTAGGGGGGTTAGGGTTAGGGTAAGAGTTAGGGTTAGAGCTATCTATTAGCACTACGGTAGCATTTTTCGACAAGGCAGCATATATCAACAGAACACCGTAATTATCATAAAGCCTTGCAACCCTGATCAGGATAAGCAGTGGGGATCGAGATTGTTGGATGTGTGGATGTAAATAAAATTTACATAAATGCATCTTGGATCTCTAGCTTAAAAATTAGTTTACACACTGCAGCTGATCCCCCCCAAATTTAAGCAATTAATATATAAACCCCGCTTCTCTCCAATACCTCAACAATTATGGATGGATTCGAGAGTACAGCATAACTTTGGCTACTTATTACCCGTGTGACATACTCAGAAAACTGCGGCTGAAACACACACACCTAACCTGAAAAAAATCACAAAAAAACTGAAAATGAAAGACGCAAATTATGCACGATTGAAAGTAATTTTCAAATATAAAACTAGAACTTTACAATGTGATTTCGTCATCTTGTTTAAATCTCAAGCGAACGCCAGTGAAACGCCAATCAAACGCAGCTACAAAACGCAGGAAAAACACCTATGGCGTTCAAAGGGCGTTCATTTCGAACGTCCATGTGGACGAGGCCTTATTGTCATGCAGAAAAAGAGAGAAATCTCACTCCAAATTTTGACATCATTAGCATATACAGTATGGATCACAGCTACTCACTCGAAATAGGAGCTGCAGCCACACATAATTATTTTGTGGGCTTTGAAGTTAACACCATTGGCCACAAACTCTACATCACAGAGTGCCCCCTTCAGCCGCAGGTCATTGAAAATTTTAAAACTCTGGGACAAAATTTCTGGCTCCATGTTGTATACTTTATCGTATCAGACTGAAATGCAAAGGTTAAATCGCCCTTTATATACTTCCCTCTGTGACATCATTTATGGTCTTTGATGTCATCTGCCATTCCATGACATCTAAACAGACAGACCAGAAATAAGTTCTAGAATTCAAAGTCAGTCCTTACTTCGCAGTGTTGTAAGATATTTTTCTGTTTTTTTTTTCCAAATATGTATTTTTCAAATAAGAATTTTATCTGCGGATTATGGTTGTGAGTGTAACAGGGAAAAGGACAGGCAATTTTGTTTTTCTTATTTTCTATTTTATATGACTAATGTGGTGTGTTTATTTCACCAAAATCCTTCTTTTATTTTAAAACTGGGGGGTATTCCATGAAAGTAGCTAAAGAAAGGCAAGACTCAACCTAGCTCCATCTCTAAACTTAGCCTCATGTCGTTCCACGAACGCAGTTCAGCTTTAACTGAACAAGGTTCATTCAAGACAGACTTGCATAGTCTCACTTAGTGCGCACACCCGCGATATTTAATAAGTCCAAATGAATGGATGAACGATAGATCGACCAAATGAGTCGGAAAGCCTGTAAAACCTGAGCGGTGTTTCTTTCCGCCGCAGAACAAACGCTGCTGATGGAGCTGTATGAAAAATGCAAAGATGTAATCGTTAAAAAAAAGGCA